CGAGTGTTTTTTTTTTTATAAAAAAGTCGGGCCTCGTCCCCCTACAGTTGGGCGTAGTTCCAAGTCGGGCCTGCCCCCCCTACAGGGGGATTTTCGACGAATAATAAAAGATACCCCAGAAATTGTCAACATATTATACAACAAATAGCCTGGGGACTGTTTTTGGAATAGTTTTGACCTTTTTGGCATATTTTGGGTGCATTTTATTTTTTTCGTCGAAAATCCCTTTGTAATTAGGGGGACACGCCCGACAAGCGTAGTTCTGTGGCGGCGCCGCCATGCACACTACGGTCGAGAGCATGATACATTCGTTTCGATCCCTTCTCGCTCCAAATACGTGGGGCTCGGTTGAAGTCGGGCACGTCCCTCTACAGGAGGAATATACAGGAGGAACATCTGCAGGAGGAATCGTCTAACATATTTGTGGACATGTTTGACCATACGGGGACATGCCGCTTATGTTCTGAGTTGTTTTTTCGTTCAAGATCCGCCTGTTGGGGGACATGCCCGACCTAAGGATCGGTGTTCCTGAATTGTTTCACAATTTTCTACAGGTTGTGCTTGGGTTATCGACGGGAAGTCGAAGTTCAACGTATATGGAAACAAGGGGCCTCGTTTCTTATTTAGGGTTTCTTAGGTCAACGCCCCGACTGTACGGAGGGGGGCTCGGCTGCCTCGACGCGCCCGTGTTGAAGCGCAGCACGTATCCGTGCTCAGAACGTCGAGGATCGAGGCGGTGGGAAGGGGCTCAGCCTTCAAGCAGTGGCGAGGCATCCTGGCTCGCCTATATATGCCAACCGGGGAATGTTCTTAGTCAGAAGGCGAAGACCCACCCCCACCCCCAGTCCCGACTCCCATCCCCAAGCCAGCGATTCAAGGGGTCGGGACTGGGGGTGGGGGCGTTTTCTCCATTCGTGGACCCTGGCAAACCACCCCCAACCCCCAGTCCCGACCCCCTGGATCGCGGGTTCGGGGATGGGCTCGGGACTGAGGGGGTTTTCGCCTTCTCTTCTTAGAACCTTTTGTGGTTTGCACGGGGAGTGTTCTTGGAACATGTCTGGCTGGGGCGGTCTTGTTTCAACACGTCGGGACCATGTTCTAAGAATCTTGTTTTTTTGTTCTTAGAGCGCGTTCGGGTTCTACGAACACTTCCCTACAGGAATTCCGGGGCGGCTGGTCCCCGCTCCATCAGCTGCCTCGACGCGCCCGTCTCGAGAGGCGCCGCGCACACCGTGCTCCAGACGTCGAGGATCGATGCCTTCTCGGGCTCGAGGATCGAGGCGCTCGGCCGTCGTCGTCGGCTCCCGGCGGTGTCTCCGGCCTCGGGAGGCGCTCCCGGCGCCGCGCCTCGCCGGGGGCGTCTTCTTGGGGGGGGGCCCGTGTTGGCCCGCGTTTTGGCGAACGCATCGCGCCGGACCCACGTTTTCAGTCCGCGTGTTGAGCTCCGTTCGGGGTTGGACAGACCTCCTACCCTGACACGTCGATTAAGGAATTGGCCGTTTTCGGTTCGCGAGGGGGCGTCGCGGCCGTCATTTTTGCGGGTCCAGGTCAGTCGGTTTCGGTCCCAGGCGCTTTTCACTAAGGGTTTACTAAAGGGAGATTTGTCCACCACCGATCCGTGTCGATGCGTGCGCGACGTGTCGCGTGTGGCGCATCGGGGCAGCTCAGTAGGGGGGGGGTGGCAGGCTCAGGGGGACGGCACCGACCAGCAGCCGCCAGTCGTGAAGAAGAAGTGGCGGCGCGAGCATACACTTTCAAAGAGGAAGGGGACGAAGGGGAGGAAGGGGAAGAGGAGGAGGAGGCGGAGGAGGAGGAGGATGGGATAGAAACAGCTAGTACCGTAGCACCCCGCAGATGCGGATAAGAGTGGGGGGGCTGTGGGGACGTCGGCAGTTTGCGAGTCTCTGGAGAAGCCCGCCGCAGGAGCCGATTGTTTCGTTAAACCAATGTGGGTAGGTCGCGGGTGGGTCGCTGGTGGGTCGCAAATGGGTCGCGGATGGGTCGCGGATGGGTCGCTGGTGGGTCGCGGTTGGGTCGTGGGTGGGTCGTGGGTGGGTCGCGGGGTGGGTCGCGGGTGGGTCGTGGGGTGGGTCGCGGGTGGGTCGCGGGGTGGGTCGCGGCGTGGGTCGCGGGTGGGACGACGACAACAACCAACAACAACAACAACAACAACAAGATTAACAACAAATATCCCAGAGCGACCTTACCTAGGAGTTGGAGCCCAGAGGAGAGCAATATTAGTAGTAACGGTAAACGCCGTCCTCCTCCTTCTCCTCATCGTCGCAGTTGTAGCAGTAGCAGTAGCGGTAGTAGTAGTAGTAGTAGTAGTAGTAGTAGTAGTAGTAGTAGTAGTAGTAGTAGTAGTAGTAGTAGTAGTAGTAGTAGTGGTAGTAGTAGTAGTAGTCGTAGT